GTCTTTTTAACAGGAGTTCTCTTTGAAGCCCCAACACACATATGAGTTTGGTACAGAGCTCTGAAGAGTGTTTTGTAACCCAACCTTACTCCATGTCAAGTGGCATCATTTACAGACAGACAGCTCCGTGTAACTCGTGGTGCTTTAGTGCCACACACACGCACCTGAATTTTACATTCTGTAAAAACATGAAAGAGGAAAATTAGAGGTGAAGAAATGCAAGCAATTCACAATCCATTCCATATCAAAGTACTCTTTGGTTTCAGCTAATGACTTGAGAAACTCCAGGTTTAACTTGCTTGTGTTAGGAAGCACATGGAATATAAATGAATAGCTTTGGTAGTATTGAGCATATGACAGGAAATTAGTAAATACATATTGGTTTCCCTTCCAATAAATTTCACATTAAAACTTGTTTATATGAGCTTACTTTAAAATATTTTAAAATTAGCAGATAAAGCAGAAAACCCAAAAAGCTGTTACACTAAACATGTGATCCATTATCTTTCTCTAGAGATTAGTAATCTTTACAACAGACCAGAGATACAGGAATTCAAGAGGCAATACAGTTTGTTCTGTCTTGGCTAATGTTCTGAATTACCTGGCATTGCATTCCAAGAACTACGATTATGTTAACATTACATTTTATACTAGAACTTTATCTTGCAGGTCAAACTAACATATCATCTAAATGAGTGCCAGTTTAGGAGCCATGTGCTCATAAAAAACATTAAGTGAGGTATGGCAACAGTTCACGTTAACTGCTATGAAACACTGGAGCAGCAGAAGAATTTGAGATAAAAGACTAAAACTAAACCACTAAGACATATTTGCCACACAAATCTAAAAAGCAGCAAATGGAGATTTAGTTTATATGATGGAAACCAGACTAAAAAATAATTGAAGGTACCTTTTCAAAAATAAAGATAGCATTCATTCAGTAAATGCAAGGTATTCAGACAAAAGTGAGAATCAAAATATTAACATACTTCTCTCAACAGCAACTTTATGACATTACAATATATAAACAATGTTATGAACTTCAGCTGCCAACAGAAAAACCATGCAGAAAACTGAACAGTCTGATCACAGCGAGAAGAAATTAGTAAGCAATGGGCATGGATGCAAAGTTTGACAAAAATGAGCAAGTGCAAGAACTTGATTTGATGAAGCTGAAAAGAAAAACATCCAAAACAATGTCCACTTACATTGCATTCCTCATTAAAAAAGGCAAATATAGAAGAGGGAAGAGGTAACATCATAAGAATTAAGAACTGTGCAATCATAGTGCGTAGTTTTTAATTCCTTCATACATTATGTTACTTGTCACTTCTTTCTCTATATAGCAAACAAGTAAGTTTTACTATACCAGCTCTGATGGAAGTTAAGATTCCAATCCCAAATGAGAAGCAGCTGTGGAGTCCCTTTACCTATCCTAATCCCTTTAACTGGGGAAACACAGTGTTTAAAAAACAACCACTTCCATTATATTTCCAGGCAAGTTTAAAGGATAAGGTTCTGATCCTGGAAGCTATTCTATGCAGTCCCCTTCTCCAGGCAGCTCTGAAGTGACAAACTGTTTAGTGGGCATCTCAGCTTTCCTTGGAGCATGCAAACATGGAGAAGGAAGCTGTCCATCAGCAGCATTCTCCACAGCTTAGCATTTGAAAGCCACTTACACTGTACTGCTGGGTCCTCTCCAAAGAGAGCCCAGCTTCATTAGACTATGAATATCAAAAAAATCAAAGCCCCTTAAAAAACGTCTTGACTCACATTTACCTTTCAACAATGAAAATTTCACTCTTGCAGCCAACATCAGTATTTTAGAAAGATGTGGGGAAACTTTACCCAAATAGGTCAAACTATTCTTTCAAATTCTCAATAGATCATCTTATATAAATCAAAATACAGTTTAGAGGGGACTGCAGCTGTAGAAGCTATGTAGGTTTTTCCACATTACACTGGCTTTCCAGTCTAGTTCCAGGCTCCGTGGCAGAAATTTGCCACCACACTTCACATAAGAGTACTCATGATACTTTAAGAGTAGTTCTAGCCCATTATTGTAAAAATTAAATAGTGATTTCTCAGCTCAGCAACTAGATGTCAAGAGCAGAACTAGTGGCAGAAAGCTTGCCACTGATCTCTAGATTAGTGCTGCTTTACAAGCATTGATGCCATGAAGGGTTTGAGCTCACTGTAAGAATGAACACCTCACACCTGAGAAGCCAGAGCTCTGCCTCCTGGGGCTCCCTTGCTGGACACAATAAGGCCAGGGAACAAGCCACCACACTTCACATTAGTAAGAGTACTCATGATACTTCAAGAGTAATTCTAGCCCATTATTGTAAAAATTAAATAGTGATTTCTCAGCTCAGCAACTAGATGTCAAGAGCAGAACTAGTGGCAGAAAGCTTGCCACTGATCTCTAGATTAGTGCTGCTTTACAAGCATTGACGCCATGAGGGGTTTGAGCTCACTGTAAGAATGAACACCTCACACCTGAGAAGCCAGAGCTCTGCCTCCTGGGGCTCCCTTGCTGGACACAATAAGGCCAGGGAACAGTCCAACTGCAAAGTCTGTATTCCCAACAGGTCCTTTAGAATTAGCAACCCATGCAGTACAGAGCTAATAAAGTCACCTTCCTCCACCTTATCTCAATTTTATGCTCTTTTATGATCTAGGGTGGGAAAAGAGGAAACGAAAACAAGTCTAAGTTCAAGAAACTACACTGCTTTAAACAAGCTGATCTGACATTCTCAGCAAAAAAAAGCACAATCATATCTAAACTGGCATATTCCCAAAGAACTCACACCAATCCCAGTATTTATTTTCTTTGCTTGCTGAATAATTCTACCTTACTTAGCATTTCAGAAATTTTTCTAACCATAGGTCAAATTATATTACCTACTCTTCACCTGCCATCATGCAATTTGCTGGATGAAGATTTGCTGACAGACTGACTTCATTTCAGACATATTAAGCATACAGTTTGAAAACAATTGAAATTAAATCTGCTGGCAAAACCTAAATGTAAGGTATTTGACAACCATTCCTTTTATCCAAACTGACCCATTAAAGTAGCTTATGGATGAAGCCATGGATGGTACTTGTTATTCCAAGAGCACTTCTGCTCATTCCTCTATTACTAATTTCTCTTCTTTTAATCCAACAGAACCTGCAAAAGCTTTTATAATTTCTATATTTCATCATCTTCAACATAAAATTAAAGAGCTGCAGTTCCATTAGACCTCACTATTTCTGTTGCTAGGAATAAGTAAACTGAATATGCTCTGAAAATTATAAACATTCAAGACAAGTATTTTACTTATCACTTTGGAAAATAGTCAAAGACCTCCCTATATTTCTTGAAGAAAATCAAGTCTGATAGGATAGAAACTGTATGAGTTTATTAGAAAAGCAAATTCCAGGAGTTGCTCCTTAAGAATACATAGTGCCCATACTCCATAACTTCTGGCCCATATTAATTCAGATATGAGTACCTTACAAGTTTGTACAACCAGTTCCAAGCAATACTTAATGATATTTTTGTCCTTCCTATATTTTAAGGTGTTTGGAATAGATTACCATCTGGGTTTTTTTTATGGCAACTGAGGCAATGAAAGGTTTCAGTAACTTTTGCTTGCACAGCACATTGAAGCACGTGTAGAACTCAGTGAGTGGATCTTACATACTCCTACCTTAAACATTGCACTGCCATTCCCCAGTGCATACTCCTTCACCTTTTGGATAAGATACAAAACAACCCTTTTCACCCTACCTCTTGAGATTTTAACAGTCATCATTCCTGGTTATATCATTTCTACACCTACAATTCTCTCTTCCTGCAATATGAGATTTATTTGTCCTCCTGTGCTCTTATTCCTTACTTGAGGTCTCAGGTGCTGGTTTACAAACACAAAATAATCAAATTATTCAAACTCAGGATTAACACAAGGCATCTGATGTAACTTTTTTTTCTTTGTTTAGTTCCTGAACCTCATACACTATTTGAATGAAGTTATCTCTTACCTTATATTGTACAGAAGTCACCCACATAATCACACCTTAGTTTTCAAAATGTAAAGAATTACTTTAAGTCCTGAGGCAGTGCCTTATATTCTATTGTGACTTCAGGATTCTCTGGGAGGAAAATAAGTGTTTCACCACATAACAGGCTTTTTTTTTTTTCTCTTTAAGTTAACAGCCCATTAACTTCTTTAACTTACATAACCTTCACTGAATTAGCCATCTAATAAACAAGAATAAATTGTACCTAAAACTGAGTAAGATTAATGGACTTGCACTGCAAGTATAAGTTCAGAGTAGGTGAGGGGTAAAGTATTTAGGGAGAACAGTGAAGGAGAGCAGCTTCTAACTCCATCCTTCACCTATTCATTTTTACTTTGAGGTTTTGGTCACATGAGGAAGAAGCTCAACTTCTGCTTAGGCAGCCCAATGTTACATTGATGTAAATGCCACCATGATAACACAGCCTTAAAACCTGAGGTGAACATCTTAGCATCCTTTGTTCAAAAAAGCCGACCTCTAATGATAGCTGAACAATCTAAAAGCATACATGATTTAGATTGCCATTTAGTGTTTCTTTACTCAAGAAAAACAGCAGGCTTATGTGAAAACTGATAAGACAAAAGAAACCAGGATAAGCTTTTACAACTTCCATGGTGATTTTAATTCATTTGGTCAGAAGACCACAATATAGTAGTCCTTCTGAAAGCAGAAAATCTCTTAGTAATGATATGCAGAGACACTACCTTTCCAGTACCTCAAAATAAGCTTAATTTCAACCTACTGGCTTTCAAAAGGAAAAAACTAGAAGAGATGAAGTAGAATAGGGAAATTAGACAATATCTTGCCAACACTGACAAGATTAGACAAATAACAATCATTAAAAACTTGATACAGAGTTTTCAAAAATTGTTCAAGTGTGCTCAAGAAGGAATAATTTAATTAAAACAGAAATATTTCTCTTTCTGACCTACTTTTTCATTCTGAGATTCCTCTGGGATGAGCTATCCAACAGTGATTTTGTGCTGGATCTCTACATGCAGTGTACACCACGAACAATCCTGAGGTCTGTGAAAGAAGACCAAGAAAAGATATCACATATACACTTTTACATCTAGCATAACCAGCTATTTTTTCCCCCCAAGAAATCCATGATGTGTTGAACAATACCAGCCAATATATACTCCTGGAGTTTTCTGATAATGCCAATTTCAATTACACCAAAAAACTTGAATGGTAATTCTTAATACTTTGTACCTGGGCTTCACCCACCAACATATTTCACAGAAGATTTAAGCATTCAAACATATTTTAACAATCTTGATTACTATAACCACTCTTCCAAAGTTAAAGAGGCTAAAGTTGATTTTGCTAATAGAAATGCAAACAAAAGCACTGCAGGAAACTAGCATTCTCTAGTTCATGAGAGCTTTAATGTTTGTTATTTAAACAATACACACTACGTTTATGTCAACAACTTCTGACTGTCAATTGAGTATTAAATCAAGAAAAAACTGGTTTGCAGCCTCCTGATGCTTTGATTCCAAGCTGGAAAGATTTGGGGTATAATTTTCAGCCAGACAGCCAAGGACACCAAGAGTTGCAAAAAAGATCCATTTCAATTGTAAATGTTACTTTCAAACAATTCCTATTTCACTCCTGGCAAACCAATCTCTACTATCTGTTATTTGCTATGTTAACTGAAATAGACAGGAATTTTCTAAAACACAATTTCCAGGAAATAAACTAACTGACTAAAGTACTTTATTTTCTCACTAACTTTATTTAAGAGAACAAAGCTGGCACGCTCCCAGTGCATCTGTGGAAGATTTATGCCTGTATATCTATCAGCTTTCCCATCACCAGCTTTTTCATCAGCTCACTTCAAACACACTTAACAGCAAGATGACAATGACAAATATTTTAGGATTGGGTAACTACATCATGCACTCTTTTGTCTTTTAAATTAGAAATGAGGAAATACCAATCAAAAGCTAAAGATTATGCCACAATGACACAAACCAGCTGCTTACACAGATTCTCACTGATACAGGAATTGAGAAAGGAGAAGCCTTCACAGTGACCCACAAGCCTCTCTCATGAATGGCCACGTTGATGGGAAGGTCACTGAAATCAGATTAATTTGTTACTGACTTCAGCAAGCTTTGGGTCAGACCTGCTGCCTCCAGAGAGCATTACTTTTTTTCCTAGCCATCTGAAAATCAGAAGTGGTGTTACAGGGACAAGAGTCACTAAAAAGCATATTTAATCCTTATCACCTAGATTATCTGGCAATGCTCATTATCAATGTATTGACAGTAACAGTGCCAAAACATGGCACTGAGAATTCCTGTGTATCTATAGACTGCCTGACCAAGAGATGAGGGCATCAGCTCCTATATACATGAAGAGCTTTTTATATCTGCTCAGTCACAGAGCTGAAGTAACCAGCTGGCAACATCAGTCATCATGCACAGCAACTATATAAACAGATGGAGACAGAAGATCTTTAAAGCTAACAAACAGCAGCACAGCCACTTTTCGTGGCAATTAAAAATATTTGCTCATGAAGTAGTTATCATAATTTATTCAATATTTTGATTTCTGCAGAATTATTAGCAAGTTAAAAGCTCAGAAAACTGCTCTGAACCACTTACTGAGGTAAGTTTTCCCAAGTACCTTCAACTTACAAATTAGGAGTCCATGACAAATTCACATCATAAATAATGGGCTAATAGCTTTATTAGCAGAACTTCTGGAAATGTAAAGAAAAACAAAATCTTATGCTTAATTAAATAATAAATTTAAATATTATTTTGCTACAGATTATTTTTGTAGCAATACTTCAAGCAAAAAAACAAGACTCACTCTAGCCTAGTCCCTCCTAGGCTAAACCTAGAACTTCCTAATTTACCTGCACAATTTTGAGTTTCACTCCCTACTTTTACAGTGCTATAGCCAAGCAAAAACATTGCTATTTACAGATGAAGAAAACCACAGCAGCTTATTACTTTAACTTAGCAGTCAGAAAAAACTTCAATTTAATGCAAAGTAATACATAAAAATACTAAGCAATCAGACCACCGGTACCTAAGTATCTCATCAATAAGACAGTACTGAAAGGTTTAAAGCCTTTGTCTCAAATTGAAATAATCTGAATACCTCTTCTCCAATTTTGCAACACTGCAGCAAGCACATCTCAAATTTGCAAGACGTGCAAATTAACTTCTGCATCCTGCCTGGAAACCCAGCAAATTCAGGTTCTTTTTATCAAGGCAAAAGGAGTAAAAGAAGAAAACATACAAGTCTGTTCTCCAGATCTGCTATGGCTCAACACAGCTGAAGCTATTTATAGAGGAAAGGCCCTAAACCAATAGATCTCAGTACTGGCATCTTATGCCATCAGTAAAAAGGCTTTTAATAAGCTTTGGTCTCTGACTGGCTGTAAACAGATGACTGAAATGAAGATTTCTAGTCAAATGTGCATTTGGTAAAAGTGCTCATATAGACAGTGCCAAATTAATGGAATCTTCTGGGATTCATCTAATTCATGTGCTGCCTGTGGCACCATCTTACTGGGACAGCCTTCCAGCAACAGCAAAGCCACAAAATTGCTCCACACATCCCAGCTTGTTCCTGTCACATCATGTACTGGCTAGGCAAAAAAAGGGGAAGAATATAATCAAGAAATATGGCACTCAGAGTACAACAATTTATTCACAAATTTGGTATTAAAATTAAAATCAGATTACATTAATTACTCCTTAGACACTTTAATCTGTAGCATATTGGTTTCATTTAAAAATACATCTTTGAAAGAACAAATGCTGTACCAACATTACCTCCCATTACTCTGAAGACTGAATGCTGGTACATTCTCCTGCAGATAAAGAAACTGCCATCTCTATTTTGACATCCTATGACAAAACCAGTTAGACAAAGTTTTTACTTTAAGGCATTGCAAAAGGTGGAAAATAAAACTCATGAACTTCAGATGTTCTCAAGTTAAAGATCTGGAAAATAATTAGATTTCTATTTGGTACTATTTTAGTACATTTTGCCCCAGTATGCAGGCAGGTCCCATGCAGAAGATTTCTGTGAAGTCCTACACACTTGCTGCTCATCTGCATCACCTCCATTTAACACAAACACAGAGGATTTTAGGCAAGAGGTGTGTGAACAGCACTGCACTTCCCATTCCTGTCAGATTCATATCCTCCCATTCACCCAGCAACTATTGTGCAACTGTCCAGAGATCTGTTGACTCGGCAGAGGCTGAACAGTTTCTGCAGCAGTTTGGGGTAAGAAAATAACCCCAGCTCTCACCTATTTAGCTGCACTTCCAAGGTCTACATAAAGCATTACAGCATAACATATAAACCCAAGAAAAAAAGAAAAATAGGCTTTTTTTTTCAATTTCTGGTGCATTGAGGAAGGGAAACATAAATGCCCATACAGGCAATTCAAAGGCAAACAACTTGCTTCAATTTTTACTCGGAATTTACCTCAATCAATTCTTTAAGCAAAGGGACTTTGCTTTACCTGTCAAGTGCTTAATGTGGTTTGGCTCACAACTTAAAATGAAATTTTCTGAAACAACTGTAATTCCATCTGCAGTTTATTTCAAAAGCAATTTGTCTTCCCAGAAGACAATTTACCACAGAAAGGAACTGGTCCTCTGTACAGATCAACTTTCCTCCTGAGTGTGTTTTCTAACAGAGGCTCCAACTCTGCACTGGAGGCAAGCCCAGGGTTACCCTGGATTTGAAGGGCTCAGGCAGACAAGGGCACAGCTATCCAGAGCCCTGGCAGGATCCCTGACTTGCAGCTTCTCTGCTCCTTCTCATCTGCTGTGGTCAGCTGGCAAGAAGACTGGGAAGTGAGCTGGGAATAGCTATTCCAGTTCCTGAGGGAATTCAGCACCAATACACCCAGGGAATGTTTTAGCCCAAATAGCTAGTACTTCAAATAATAATAAATGGATTAAAGCAGGAAGTATTTGATTCTTGGCTTAGATCCCTTTTCTCAATAAAACTTATAAATCTGACAGAAAATTACTCCACCTGCTACTACAAATTGCTAACACACACCTTAAAACAGTAGATTGCTTTAGGAAGGAACAATACAGTGTTCATTATTGTTCTTATCTATAATAAAAATAATCTGTTAAATTTTATATACATTTTAAAAGCAGCTTACAAGAAATTAAATCAAGTTGTTTGTCTCCCTGAGTTATACTTCACAGATTTTAAATGGAAACTGATACCTGTCATGTACACACAGTTGAAAATGACCTTGCTGCAAAGTCCATGAATAATACAGACAGTTCCTACCACACAGTTATTGAGTTTTCTCCATTTATCTCTGTCTTCAGATGTAGTCCTAAGACCTAAACTTCGTATGAAATTAATGAAGTTAGTGAAACTCCTGCTTGTGAAGACAAAAAGTTATCTTTTAATCCACCCCAGCGATTTTGTTTTTACCAATGCTACTCAATGTGAATTTTCTGATGGCACCCCACATGGCATATGAAAGTAAAGAAGATATAATTCCTCTTCTAGTATTGTAACTACCACTTTCATGCCTGCTAGAACTCATTCTGAAGCATGCCATTTTTAATTTCCTCTGGCAAACTGGTTTTGATTCAACTGCTCGGTGCTTAGCACATAAGAATTCTGGAATGGGGGACACAGACTCCTGCCTCCAGAAAGGACTTGAATCAAACAGAAATTCGGCACAGACCTGCTGAGTTTGGTAAACTGCACACATTATTTCAGTCATAAAAACGTGCCAAATAAAACTCCCTAGTTATCTTATCTCCTACAATGTTTAAAGGCTAGGAAATTGAACATGCTGATTTAGTTATTCTCAGCATTCAACACAGAGCTTGTTAAACATTTTGCTGAATTCCAGTCTTGTTTAGCAAGGAGGGTAGGTATGGTGCAGCCATTGCTTCAAATACAGCTGTGTGAGTGAGCCTCTGGAGAGATCCACGTGGTTCCCACATCGTCCTGTCCCATGCCCAGCCCCAAATACATCCACAAACGTGTGCTACAAACAGGCTGATACTGCAAGCAGCTGATAATTGAGTGTGCTCAGAAATCAGAGAGAACACAGCTGAAAGCAGGACAGGAGCTAAGCACATTAACCTTAACATCCAATTCTACATGCTTGAGCAAACTGGCTAATCACATTCTTCATTTAACCTCTGTTTCTGCAATGATATTCCAACCTACAGAACAAGGTGGAAATAATTACCTGATAAGGAGTAATTGCCACAATACCTCTCATCACCTTCCTTCCTATGCATTTACAAAATTTAAGAACTTGTACAGAAAGTGAGCTCTAGCTAATGAGAATGTGCAGATGACTGAAATCAAGTAGTAGGTAAAAGCTGATACAGGCACCGAGAACACTGCAGTTCTGTGAACTGGAAATTAACACAAAACAGAAGTTTTCCATAAACCACCTATACTATGGACTGAAAACCAAATCAGTAAGCTTATTTCTGAAGCCCTGTGTGAACATCCAAACAACAAACTAGCCTAAGAACCAGCTCCTTTCTTGATTTTCCCCCCATATCATTATCAAGCATTTTTGTTCTCTAGACTACAATTATAAACCATCTTCATTACAGATAAAAAACCAGCCCGATTAGTGGTCCTTAAGAGAACTTCTTCAGATTCTCAGGACAGAGAACAACATTAAAAATAGAGCATCAATTGCCTGAAGAGTTTATTTGAGTTAAAGAATCTGTGACTAATCTCCCTGCTGACAAATACACACACAAGTTAAATTACTTTCCCACAACCCATAGTGGTTAGAGAGATTCCCACAGTGATAGAACAACTTCCTGGTTATTCCTGGCTTAGGGGCATTGGTCTCCCACAAGTTTAAGAAGAAAAAAATACCCACTGTATTTTCCAATTAGCAGCCCAAACCGACAGAAAATGAACAGGCCACTTAAGTATTCTAAAATAAAATTAGTTCAATAGCACAGCACACTATCTCTCATGCTCTGAAAGCAGACCTTACATAGTTTAAAGCAATATTCTCAAGAGACGGTGCCTGAGCTACATTTAAAAAACAGACTTGAATGGACCAAGAGCCAGCAAAATGAAAAAGAGTCGAGCAGACAGATCAGACAAATGTCAAGGTCTGTTCCAACCTCAGAGATCTAACGGTTCTATGAACGCAGCCACGTTCACACCTTTACTGGAGGCCTCTGTCCCCCCTCGGCAGGACAGCCCCTATACACACATGGCAAAGCTGGCTTCTCCCAGGGCGGACTTGAATGGACCAAAAGGCAGCAAAATGAAAAGAGTCGAGCAGACAGATCAAATGTCAAGGTCTGTTCCAACCTCAGAGATCTAACGGTTCTATGAACGCAGCCACGTTCACACCTTTACTGGAGGCCTCTGTCCCCCCTCGGCAGGACAGCCCCTATGCACACATGGCAAAGCTGGCTTTTCCCCGGGAGCGCAGAGCGCGGTGCGTGACACACATGGCAAAGCTGGCTTCTCCCAGGGCTCCTTTCCCCGGGAGCGCAGAGCGCGGTGCGTGAGCGCGCCCTCACTGCCACTGTCCTTGCGCCAAGAGAGGCCTGGTTTTTCACGCGGCAGGAGGGCGGCCGGTGAAGGCCGCTAGCCCCGGGCTGCCGCAGCTCAGCCGGCGGCCGCAGGGGGCGGCGGGGCGGGCAGCCGGCACCAAGCAGCGGCCGCGCTAGCCGGGCGGGCCGGCGGCGGCAGCGGCCGGGGGGGCAGCGGTGGCGGCGGCGTGGGGCGGCGGCCGGTGTCCGCGGCGGCACTACTGCGAGGCGGCGAAGAAAGAGGACGACCCCAACTTCTTCAAGATGGTGGAGGGGTTCTTCGATCGCGGCGCCAGCATCGTGGAGGACAAGCTGGTGGAGGGGCTGCGCACCCGCGAGGGCATGGAGGAGCGGCGCCACCGCGTCCGCGGCATCCTCCGCATCATCAAGCCCTGCAACCATGTGCTCAGCGTTTCCTTCCCCATCAAGCGCGACAATGGCGAGTGGGAGGTGATCGAGGGCTACCGGGCGCAGCACAGCCAGCACCGCACGCCCTGCAAGGGAGGTGAGCCCCGCCGCCCGGCCGGGCCCGCGGAGGGCCGGGCCGCCCCGCCCCGCCGTGCCCCCGACCAGCCCCCCTGGCCCGCCGCGCCCGCTGCCCGCCCGGCCGGCGAGGGCAGGCGGCTGCCCGCCGTGCCAGCCGCGGTATCCCATAGCCGAGGGAAGGCAGGCGCAGGGCGGTTCCTCCCGCGCTCCGCTGTCCCGGCCCCCGGGTGACCCCCGGGCCAGCCCCGGGGCCGGGTGTCACGGCCGCCGGTCGGGCCTCCGCCGCCGGGCTGGCCCTGGGCATGGCGGGGAGATCCCCGCCTGGTTTTAACCTGATGTGACTCAGACCCCGATAGTGTTTGTAGGGAAAGGGGGGAGCACCGTGCTAGAAGTGTCTGCTCCAGTCGAGAGCTGGAGGAGCCACTGTCCCTTTACACTCAGCCGGCTGTGTTCGCGAAAAGCCGGTGCTCACGCAGAAAACATCCGCAGAGAAAAATAACAAGTTTTAATAACAAGTTAACTGTGGTTCCAGTTACCGCCTGGATACATAGTTAGACAAAAGTGATTTTTCTGGAAGTGGCTAGATCTAGATAGGTGAGACCAGCGACCTGCTCAGGGACCGAGAGGGTGAACCCCAGTGGAGCTGAGCAGAGCGGGGCTCTCATGGGATCGGCCGTGATCTCAGAGGAATCAGACTCCCAGTCTAAAAGTCTGGGATAGATGGCATTTCCTTGAAAAACAAATACAGATGTCCTTCAGCATAACTTACTCAAGAGCTCTGATCTTTGTGGACATTTGAGTATTGGAAACCATTTCAGGTCTGTGACCCAAACCAGAGCTTCTGTAGTCTGTAAACACATTTATAAGGTGTCTAACTTCAAGACTAGATTAGGAAGGGTGTTGTCAGGTAAATGTGTTTGTGACAATCAGTTCAGCTTGTATATATATGACATAAGGATTTCTCTCTGCAGCACAAACTGTGTGTCCTGTTAACGTGATTCCTAACATTCCAAAATCAAATATCTAGTGAGTGTCCTGTAACATGCTAAATTCTTACCCAAAAGAGGCTAACTCAACTTGTGGTTGTTTACTTGAAGCAAGAATTACCATGAGACTCCAGCCAGCATGGGTGTGGCTGAAGTTTACTCTGTGTGAATCTGCTGTTCTATACCGTTGCTATAATTTCTTTTAAAATACCGATGGATATCACTCTGCTGTTGTATTACTGCTTCAGCTGAGTTACTCTTTGCTGCTGCTTACAGAAAGTCCTTTGCTGTACAGTCTGTGTTACTTTTAAGATCCTGCTTGCATAACAAAATGCAGTCCAGTGGCAAATGAAGTAACAAAATAATATTAATATATGATAGCTTCTGATATTTCACATTAGTACTGCTCATAAGTGAAGGAACTAATGTTTACACAACAATTAATTATAAAATGCATTGTACGTGAACCAACCCCACCAACCCCACTGTCCATTCTGATACCTACATTTCTAAATCCTCACTAGAATTTCTTGATTTTGGTGGTATTTGTTATGTCTGTCTGCACTCACACTGAAGCAAACACTGGAGTGCTTACAGGCAATTGAAAATGACAACTCAAGAAAGTAGGAAGTCTCAGTAGTTTGTCCTTTTCTTCTTGTGTTGCTCCCCACCCCCTCTGAATTTAGGGAAGGAATTGCAAATGATATTTTCTTTCCCTTCTTCAGCACAGAGAATCATTAATGGGTTTCACCTTCTACTGCTGTCTAGGAACTTGCTCACTATCAGGTGACAGAGCTGAATTGGTAGTAAATTTAAATGGGGTGCATGATAAGCAAAGATCAATTGCTTGAAACCTGCTATGAAAAAGGAGTGAGGAAGTAGAACATTTCTACTTTAATGACAGAGGAGTGGTAGAGATATTTCTGCATTTATAGTGCATTTGATCCACCTGAAATGCAACAACAACTTGAGCTTTTGTCCAAAAGGGATTTTTGAACTAGAATCCTAGTACAATCCACAGGGATAAAAGCACAAAGTCCAATGAAACCCAACTCCAAACTTCATATAACAGAATGAAATGGGGAAACGTGCTCAAGTGAGTGCCCCACACACTTCCCCAGAGTCCAAAGCAAGTAATTCTCACCATCAAGAAACAGTAAGGGACATAAGAGCCCCTTCTAAAAGAAGGGGTGAGTTGGCAAGTGGAAGGCTTGCAATGACATTAGGAGAAACACACTTAGCACATCTTTTCATATGCAAAATTGTGACCTTTAACTTTGTGCTTCCTGAAAAGTAAAATTTGGTAAAGCAAGGTTTCCCGTTCTGCTTTTTTTTTTTTTTTTGGTGTGTGTTTATTGTGTGTATTTGGTACTAAGAAAGAAATGGTGTTTAGTTACTGCTAGATGATTGTAAGTGGGGATGCTTTGTCCTCTCTATTATTCTTTCAAGGAGCATTGTGCTTTAAAATCTCATCTCTTATATTTATTGATGTTTACATAAACTGAAGGATAAGAGATGCTGGTTAGAGAATATTAAATACTGCTCTGTATGCAGATTAGACAAATGATCAAAGTACACTTTAAGATTCAAGTAGGAAATGTAGGAGTACAAAAGTTTTTAGGTCTTTTAAAGGCTGTCCTCCTTTAATTGTTCCTAATTTTTTTCAGTACATTCATACCAAAATTCTTCATTAGCAGTTGTATGTTACTTCTGTATGCCTTTCTGTTTATAAGGGCATTTAGAGATTTAACCATGAACTAATGCAGAATTTATACCGTAAATCAAATTTTGAAATCTTGATTTAAATCCCCTAAACTTGGAGGCAGCTGAATTACTCAAAGAAAAAGAGTCTAAATAAACATTTTAATTATATGCACTTCAGCAGCACCTTCTTATTTCTACTAAATGTTTCTAGTTAACAGAATAACATTTAGATGACATTCCTTCTATCAGAGGTATATGCCATTTCTTTGCCTGCTCATTCTCTGCTGGAGTGAAACCTCAGTCCCTGTTGAGTGGTCCAGCTCAAATGTGAAAACTGCCAGACTCTAAGTGCAAAGTTTACCTTTATAAATCTCACATGTGCATGCAAATGATACCTGCAGGTATAAACCAGCAGTTCCTTGACTAGTAGCCCTTCCATACCTCCTCTGTGCTGGCTTCTTTTGCTGCAAAGTAGAAATACCTCAGTAGAGTGAATGCCATGAAAATACATGCCAAGAAAATGCCATGACTCCTTTGGGAATACAAGTTCTGAGTGGATGGATGACTGTAGCCTGATACAGCTGCATGAGGGCAAATCCAAGATCAGCATTACATTTTTTGTATAGGCAAACTTCTACACCTTGGTGAGAAACTCAACTGTCATATTTCTGTTCAAGAAGTACAATGCCCTTAATACCCTAATTCTAACAATCAAAAGCACTGTTAATAAAAAATAGGAAGTTATTTAAAGGCTTTTCCTACTTTACTCTCTTCCCTCAAAGCACATGTAAGAACACAAGTCAGCTTGGTTGTGTTGGATGTAGCTGTCATTACATAGCAGTGCAAGTGATTCTTCATTGGGTGAAGAAAAGTGCTTTTCTGGAAAAGAAGCATGAGGTACTGAAACATGCTTTCTTTTCAGTTTACAACTTTTGGTGGTTCTCTCTTATTGAGAGAACCCAGAAACAACACTTCTTGTTGAATCTTGTATTGCTCACCTATTTAATTGTTGTAGAAGTTAACCTTTAATTCTGCTTTGGGGGTTGCAAACTTTGCAAGTTGAGAGAAGGTGGTGATTCTTTTTCTTAGCAGTGCTTCTCTGCTGTACTTTAGGAATCTTTACAGAACTGTCATAAATATCCCCATTTAAGTGGTATGTCTTACAGTATGTCCAGCATCCAAATCCAGGTTTTAAGGACTCCATTTTCTGCAATGTAACTGTTTACAAGAAAGGAAAAATCAGTTAGATGCCACCTCATCCCACTGAAAATATGGAATAAGCAGCTTTCTTGTGTGTTGGAACTCAGGTTGCTTATGCTCCAAATGTAGTATTTATACAAGTGGACTGATGCTGCCTGGTAGGTGGAGTAATGCTGTGGGTCACATCACTCTTTCCTATGCTGATGTGGTGACTTGCATGCCAGTGGCCAGT